ATATATATATATATATATAATATATATATATATATAATATATATGTGTATTCTTTCTTTCAACAAACCAGCCGTATCCCAACGAGGCAGGGTGGCCCCAAAAGAAAACCGAAAGTTTCTCCTTTTACATTTAGTAATATATACAGGAGAAGGGGTTACTAGCCCCTTGCTCCCGGCATTTTAGTCGCTTCTTACAACACGCATGGCTTACGGAGGAAGAATTCTGTTCCACTTCCCCATGGAGATAAGAGAAAATAAACTAGAACAAGAACTAGAAAGAAAATAGAAGGAAACCCAGAGGGGTGTGTATATATATGCTTGTACATGTATGTGTAGTGTGACCTAAAGTTAAGTAGAAGTTTGCAAGACGTACTGAAACCTTGCATGTTTATGAGACAGAAAAAAGGACACCAGCAATCCTACCATCACGTAAAACAATTACAGGCTTCCGTTTTACACTCACTTGGCAAGACGGTAGTACCTCCCTGGGTGGTTGCTGTCTACCAACCTACTACCTAGAACATATATACATGTATATATATATATATATATATATATATATATATATATATATATATATATATATATAATATATATATATATATATACATATATATATATATATATATATATTATATATATATATATATATATATATATATATATATATATATATATACATATATATATATATATACATATATGTATATATATATATACATATATTGCTGTCATTAAGTACTGATTTCTCAGTAATTACTAATTTAAAAATCGTTGGAACTAAAAGGCTTTGTGATGACACTTTTGTTAGTTACTTTTATTGTCTATTGTTGATGGTGTTGATGGCTACACTCTCACCTCAGTCACTGTTCCTCGTCTTTTGTTCTTTTATTTCCACGTTACAATGTGTACACTCTGGCAACACGCCACCTGTGTGTGTGTGTGTGTGTGTGTGTGTGTGTGTGTGTGTGTGTGTGTGTGTGTGTGTGTGTGTGTGTGTGTGTGTGTGTGTGTACTCACCTAGTTGAGGTTGCAGGGATCGAGTCCAAGCTCCTGGCCCCGCCTCTTCACTGGTCGCTACTAGGTCACTCTCCCTGAACCATGAGCTTTATCATACCTCTGCTTAAAGCTATGTATGGATCCTGCCTCCACTACATCTCTTCCCAAACTATTCCACTTCCTGACTACTCTGTGGTGTGAAGAAATACTTCCTAACATCCCTGTGATTCATCTGTGTCTTCAGCTTCCAACTGTGTCCCCTTGTTACTGTGTCCAGTCTCTGGAACATCCTGTCTTTGTCCACCTTGTCAATTCCTCTCAGTATTTTGTAAGTCGTTATCATGTCCCCCCTATCTCTCCTGTCCTCCAGTGTAGTCAGGTTGATTTCCCTTAACCTCTCCTCGTAGGACATACCTCTTAGCTCTGGGACTAGTCTTGTTGCAAACCTTTGCACTTTCTCTAGTTTATTTACATGCTTGGCTAGGTGTGGGTTCCAAACTGGTGCCGCATACTCCAATATGGGCCTAACGTATACGGTGTACAGGGTCCTGAACGACTCCTTATTAAGATGTCGGAATGCTGTTCTGAGGTTTGCCAGGCGCCCATATGCTGCAGCAGTTATTTGGTTGATGTGCGCTTCATGAGATGTGCCTGGTGTTATACTCACCCCAAGATCTTTTTTCTTGAGTTAGGTTTGTAGTCTCTGGCCCCCTAGACTGTACTCCTTCTGCGGTCTTCTTTGCCCTTCCCCAATCTTCATGACTTTGCACTTGGTGGGATTGAACTCCAGGAGCCAATTGCTAGACCAGGTCTGCAGCCTGTCCAGATCCCTTTGTAGTTCTGCCTGGTCTTCGATCGAATGAATTCTTCTCATCAACTTCACGTCATCTGCAAACAGTGACACCTCAGAGTTTATTCCTTCTGTCATGTCGTTCACAAATACCAGAAACAGCACTGGTCCTAGGATTGACCCCTGTGGGACCCCGCTGGTCACAGGTGCCCACTCTGACACCTCGCCACGTACCATTACTCGCTACTGTCTTCCTGACAAATATTCCCTGATCCATCGTAGTGCCTTCCCTGTTATCCCTGCTTGGTCCTCCAGTTTTTGCACTAATCTCTTGTGTGGTACTGTGTCAAACGCCTTCTTGCAGTCCAAGAAAATGCAGTCCACCCACCCCTCTCTCTCTTGTCTTACTGCTGTTACCTTGTCATAGAACTCCAGTAGGTTTGTGACACAGGATTTCCCGTCCCTGAAACCATGTTGGGTGCTGTTGATGAGATCATTCCTTTTTAGGTGTTCCACCATTCTTCTCCTGACAATCTTTTCCATGACTTTGCATACTATACATGTCAGTGACACTGGTCTGCAGTTTAGTGCTTCATGTCTGTCTCCTTTTTTTAAAGATTGGGACTATATTTGCTGTCTTCCATGCCTCAGGCAATCTCCCTGTTTCGATAGATGTATTGAATATTGTTGTTAAGGGTACACATAGCGCCTC